CAATTTACTTCTACCTGTAGGTTCCTTGTTAGATTAGACTCCTTTAAATACTGATGGATCAACCTGACTACAATATATCTCCTATTCTACCTGTAGGGTCCTTGTTAGATTAGACTCCTTCAAATACTGCTGGATTAATCTGACAACATCAGCTGACTCGATCTCAATCGACATGTTCTCTGAAACATTGGTTGTTTTAAAAAGGAAATTACGGTCGGTACGCGCAGACATTTGAGACCTTAAAACATATAAAAACGAAACTTTCCTTAATATTTTCTTTAAGTTTGTTTCCGATGCTGAAAAAAGACCTTGGATAGTGTATGGCGTACAGACTTCATTTTTATAAATAAGAAAGGATGCAATGGTTCAGTGGTTGGTATACAATATCAAGAAAACACAAAAATTTGAAGCTTTTTACACAAACACCCTCCTACAAAAAATATGGGTTCCCACAAAGTTTAAATTATGCGATCGAAAAAAAACTGTAAAAACCATACTGTCAAAAAGTGTGTTTAAAGTAAATATATACCAATCAAAGATTATAGATACAACAAATATTTAAGTTATCACAAATATTTTCTAGGACTAGGACTTTGGCTTCGATGCTTAAATGTTCACATACTAAAACAAAGGAACATCAGATTTAATATCTAAAAAAAAAAAAAATATTTCAACAATTTTTATTTAATCAATTAAAACACTTTATGGATATCTGATGTACCCTTGATATCCTGATGTACTGTACAGTTTACAGTGTACATTCTGTACAAGGCTAGAGATTCTGAAGTTTGGCCGCTAACAATGTGTTGTACATAAGACAAGCTACTGTACAAGGTCCAACTCCGCCCGGTACAGGAGTCACCACTCCAGCAACCTATATTTAATTTAATTAAAGATTTAATTTAATAAAATTCTTATTTGAAATGGCCGCAAAAAATGTGTTAGACAGTCCCTTTTAACTTAATATATATATATAAGCTACTCATGGATTTAAAAAAAGGATTTTTAAATAAATACCTCGTTTACATCTTTCGTCATATCTCCCACCACTATATTTTTACCAGCAGCAGTCCTAAAATAGGACTAGATAGAATAGGACCAGGACGGACGACTAGGATTACTAGGACCACGATGACAACAAGGACGTGGGTATCGTAAAATTTGTAAATCACTGGAATCATTTTAACAAAACTGTTTAAGATAAAAAGAAAAGGGAAAAATGGAACTGTGTTTTGAATCTCAAGATGGATCAAACATTTATTCTCAAATAAAAACAAAAAAACATTGAATATAGACTTTCTTTAATAACGATACTCCACACAAAAAAGTTCTGACCTACTAGGTCAAATAAACTAGAACAATACTTAGAGAGTGAAACGGCAAAAACAACTATAAAGGTCAAAGGTTTAAAGAAAAAAACATTAAAAAATCATAGACAAAGCTATACAATTTAGACCACAAATAAAAAATATATAAAATAATTAAAAAAATACTGTAAGCAGGACAAGAAGAAACAAAAAGATGACGAACATTGAAAACTGTTTTCTACCTGATACGATTCAAACCAACATCGATTAGAATAGATCCAGGTTTAATTAAATATTTATTAACAAGGCCAGGGACACCTGTAAAAAACTAAAGATTAAAATAATATTTAAATAAAATAAGTAAAACTGTTACCGGCTGCAGAGACTATAAGATCAGCCCCTAGACACGCCCTGGTCAGCTGGTGAGTAGGCGTGGCTCGGTGACAGCTAACTGTAGTCATATCAAACCCACCTACAAAACAACAGTTCAATAATAATATTTGTTTAAAAATAAAATTAAAATAAATACCTTTCGTCATATCTGCACCGAGAATTATAGATATCGGCAGACCGACATTATGCGATCTTCCGATAACCACCGCGTTCTTTCCCAGAGTAATCATTTTCAACTCCTCAACTATTCTCTTCATAAAATAAACTTTTAACTTTCAAAAATTAATTAAATGTGAAGAACTATCTTTGAAAACTTTTAACCACAACAAACTAAATTTTAAATCTGAATTTTTTAAAATTTCGACGTTGAAAGTTTATAAACCTTAACCGCTAGAGCGGTGCAAGGCAGTATTGTAGATTCAGTCGTCTTCTAGCGTTCTTCAAAATAACAGAAAAAAATAATCAAACAAAATAATAGAAGTTGAAGGAGAACAAACAAAATAGTAGAAGTTGAAGAGAGAACAAACAAAATAATAGAAGTTGAAGGGAGAACAAACAAAATAATAGAAGTTGAAGGGAGAACAAACAAAATAGTAGAAGTTGAAGGGAGAACAAACAAAATAGTAGAAGTTGAAGGGAGAACAAACAAAATAGTAGAAGTTGAAGGGAGAACAAACAAAATAATAGAAGTTGGAGAGTAAAAAAAATAGAAGTTGGAGAGAGTACAATAAAAAAATAGAAGTTGGAGAGAGTACAAGAAAAAAATTAGAAGTTGGAGAGAGTACAATAAGAAATAATAGAAGTTGGAGAGAGTACAATAAAAAAATAGAAGTTGGAGAGAGTACAATAAAATAAAAATAGAAGTTGGAGAGAGAAAATGATAGAAATTTNGGTGTATATTCAACCTCTGCTATTAAGAAACCTGCATAAGTTTCCCGAGATTAGTTTGTGTAAATCCATCAACATCCTGGAAAAAATAAAAATATTTATAAAAGTAAAAACTGTAGGTGGGAGGGTGTAGGATGACTTCTAATAATGTTTGAAGTAGAATACAGATGAGTTCAGATTAGTTCATATCGGTTCAGATGAGTTCAGATGAGTTCAGATGACCTCAAATCAGTTTAAATGTGTTCAAATCTCGATAAAAGCCTTCAAAGAAGATGTACTGATCTTTAAACAATCTTAAAAAAGAATTTTCGAAATAAACCAGTATCATTCTATACTTGAGAATGAAATAGATCAGTACTTTGTCATAAAAAATATAAACCTTTTAACACAGTGCATAACAAATCCACATATGCTTAACTCTAACAAACATGAAATTGGTGCATATTTATGAATGCATTAACGATGTCGCAAACCTTTATGGTTTAAGAAAAACTTGAAATTGAATAAATTTACTTGCCTTGGAGGGATGAACTGCATTACATATTTGTATCTCTGAGAGATGAAGAGGTAAAGGTAGTTGAACAATTATACCGTGAATACTGGGATCCTAAAGGAAATAAGTTTAATCAAATTGATTTATACATTATAATTACTAAAATCAAACTTGTAATAAATTAAATTCTTTATTGAGACAATTGTTAAGAAAAATAAACCCTAGATTTAAACTATAATTAAGACCATTTCTCTGGGGCGGTTAACGTGCTGTATTTTTCGCCAGTCCAGATATTTTGTGGATCTAGTGAATTAAATCCCACGTTCTAAATCTTTTAGCCTAATGTTATACGTTCTTACCTCATTCAGATCATGAATTAGGCCAAGTATTTTGGATTCAAATGTATCTTCTGATAAATGGATAACCTGATAAATATAAGAATCTTGCACAAAAAATTAGGACCAGTAAAATTTGCTATTTAATGATTGTTACATAACGAAGCTTAATCTTAGCATTTCCTTCGTGTATTATACATTGAACAACTGCACTAGCAAGTTTAAACCCCTTGATGATCAGATCAAATCATGCTTTTAGGGACGCGTTACAACCACACACCAAAATTGAAGTGGCTATACTAAATCAATAATGAAGTGAGGTCTTACGATTTGTAATCTTTGTTTATTTTCACTTGATTGTTAAAGAAAATCCGCTAAGAAGTTATTTTTATTACGTTCATTAACAAGAACGAAAATGTGTGAAACATTTTAACCGGAAAATTCATCGATAAAAACAAATAAAAACAAGGATTCTGTCACCTTTATTTATCAAAAATACAACAATTAAACAAATAAGTAATAAAGATAATTATCGACATTCCAATAACTTTACGTCTCACAATATCGTAATAAATTGATTATTATTTTCGTTTCTCGTTGTCAAATTGATCAAAAGAAATCTCGCCTGTCCTTTTAGACCACATTCTTCCGCTACTTCTTGCTTCTTCTCCAAATATATTTTAGAGGCAGGATTATGACCTAATTTTAATCAATTAGAAACATCATTGAGTAATATACATAACAACATTTTTTTCAGTGACGGTAAACTTCTTTGCGAAGATGCTCTATCCAGGGTTGGTTGTGTGGAAAACAGTCCGAGCTATCTTGTAGCTCCCCGGCCACAAAAAATATATAATTGTCAGTTATTTTATAACTATATGTGTATGTTTCAAACTTGTGGCCTAAGAAATGATTTGATTTGATTGATAATTGTCAATCTTTAGGATCTGGACTGTTCTTTATTGTGAAATTTCGCAAGTTGTTTTAAGGGATTCTCAACGAAATATCAAGTTTATTTAAAGAAAATTGACTGAATTTAATACGTTTCCAGATATCTTCCGTATTTCCGCTCTAATAAAGGTCTAAATGGTACTGCTATGAATCGGGAATGCAACTTTTTATTTAAATTGGGGTAACTTAATAAAACGACTGTCGACAATCCCTCAAAGAAGATTTGCCAATTTGCAGATAGAAATACATAACTAACGATAAAATTTCAAGCGAATTTTATACAGTAAGACCCAGTAAACTGTTGAATAGAAAGCGTTAAGCTATGGTTTTAAATAGTTTCTTTAAATACAGCATTAGTGCTGGAAACACGGTCACATTTCACCGAAAAATTAAATCTTAAAGCTATCAATCTCTTTGTTTTAAATAACAATAAAGACACATAAGATTGCAAAATGTCGTCATCCAATTCAACAGTTTTTGGATCTCAATCTAGATTATTTAAAATTCAATTGATATTTGTTTAATAATGAATAAAAAATTCTTACCAACAGCGATGGCTACGAACTGCGGAGAAAATGAAGATTTAAAACTCTGATTCAGTAAAATTTCCTGAATTATCAGTTAAATTAGGTTCAACAGATATAAATTAATGTCAATAATATTAGATTTAATTACTTACAGGTATAGGCTAGGTTACAATATTAGGGTCCGTCCTAGTGTAAGATTTTTAGACCTTCTGTTAATTTTTGTTGTTAAATAGTTGTCTCCCCTCCAATGCCCGTGGGAGGGAGGGGGTCCAGAAATAGTTCTCAAGGAAATTACCAATTTCAGGGCTTAGACTGCGGCTGACAGGCTAGGGACCGAGATCCGCGGCAAGGACAGGCTAGGGGCCGGGCACAGCCTTTGTATAATCACACAATGTAAATAAATTTGTGGGATAGGCATCCACTGGATATTTCTTTAAGATCGTATACTAGGACATTACTATAGATACAAATCTGACCTCTTTAACCTCTCTCTTAATTTTATTGGCCAGCTGGTGTCCATTGAATATCGTCGCCAATTCTCTCCGGATAAACAGATATTTTAAACTTATGTTTTTAGAATGCAATGATTTTAAAAATTGCATTTCTCTGTCTTCTTTAGTACCAAGTAACAGAACTAATGCACATCAACAGCAGACAGGTTTTAAACATCGGAAAATACTGCAGCAATATTATAAACTTCTCAGGAACGTTGTTGACAAGTTATTTTACGAGATTCGGCCAAAATATGGTGTTGCGCGTAAACATTATAAATGCCACGTAAGATGGCTAAATAATCTACCGGGTTTACGAAGACGACATTAAATACAGCGTTACCCACAAAGAATGAGACTACAAAGACAATTATTCAGAGTTTATACTGCCAAATATGTCCGGGAGTCCAGAGGCCTTTTTTTCAAATTCAGAAACCCATGGATCCCGGTGGCTGACATCAGGCCTGTGCCCAGTAGGTAGGATTTTAAAGGGTGCTTTTTTAAGGGTTTGAAGTCGAAAAAAAGGAAATTTTAAGTTGTTGCATGCAGATTTGGCTGCAGTGTTCAATTCAAATCGATTTAAACTTCCAACAGCTGTAAAATGAATGATGAGTCAAATCATTGAATATGTGTGCGAATCGCAAAAGAGTATTTTTTAAGGTGCTATGGAAACGCCTCAACACGGAAATGCCTAAAAAAAAGAGCGGAAACCCCTCAAAAACCGGTTTTTTTTGAGACGTTTCCGCAATTTCTGCAAGAAAAACGGAAATCCCACAAAACCCAGTTTTTGAGGGGTTTCCTCTTTATTTTGAGGCGTTTCCTAAAATTTTTGAGGGGTTTCCGCTTTTCACCTGACAATTATTTTTGAGGAATTTCCCAATATTTTTGAGGGATTTCCCAATATTTTTGAGGCATTTCCGCAAAATTTTTGAGGCGTTCCCGTATTTTTAACAACTTGATTTAGTTGAGGTGTTTCCTCTTTTTTTTGAGGCGTTTCCGCAAAATTTTTGAAGCGTTTCTGTATTTTTTAAAACCTGATTTAGTTGAGGTGTTTCCTCTTTTTTTTGAGGCGTTTCCGCAAAATTTTTGAAGCGTTTCCGTATTTTTTAAAACTTGATTTAGTTGAGGTGTTTCCACTTTTTTTTGAGGCGTTTCCGTTTTTTTTGAGGCGTTTCCTCTTTTTTTGAGGCGTTTCCTCTTTTTTTTTGAGGCGTTTCCGTAAAATTTTTGAGGCATTTCCGTATGTTTAAAAACTTCATTTAAATTTTTGAGTGGTTTCCGTATTTTCATAAACTTCATTTAATTGAGGTTTTTCTATTTTTTTTGAGACGTTTCCGCAAAATATTTGAGGTTTTTCCGTATTTTTGAAAACTTCATTTAGTTGAGGTCTTAACTCTTTTTATTTTGTCGAGTTTTTGTTTTAAAAAAAAAAAATTCAAGGCTTATTAGAGTCGATTTCTCTTTTTCCTTACGGGTTTCCAGAATTTTTGGAAGAGTTTGTCTTTTTAGATAACTTCTTAAATTCATTATAGAGGAGACTTATCAGAAAATTTCGTTTCTGTTTTTTCAATAAATGGATTTTAAAACATAAAGTTGAGACATTTCCGCACGTATTTTTCCGAACAGTTTAGAGAAGTTTCCACAATTTACTTTTAAAAAAATTGAAATTTCATTTTAATTTTTAAAAAAATTTTACAACATTTTTTTATTCTCGTAGAATCCACCACATTTTTAAATAACTTTGTTAGAAATTAAAACTTAAATAGAATTGAATTGAATTGAATCAAATTGATAATCAAAAAAGAAAAGATGGGTCCGTCCTAGTTTACGATTTTTGGAAAATCGTTTTCTAGGAAATTACCAAAAAGATAAATTGGATGCATTATAACAAGCAAGTTTTCATCATTTTTAATTATTTTTAGTTTTTACCCAAAAATTCAGCAATTAAAACCCTTAAAACCCTATAAATTGTTTTTCTCATTTTTTATGATCCCTATTTCTTTGAAACCTCATGGTGTTTAATTTCTGGGAAAAGATTAATTATTTTGGAAAGGGGGAAAGATTTTTAAAGAAAGAAACTAAGTTTTTTTTAACAAACGGAAGAAGAGGAAATGCCTCAACAAATAAAGTTTAAAAATTTTATAAAAAACGGAAATGCCTCAAAAAAAGAGGAAACGCCTCAACAAAATAAAGTTTAAAAACTTTTTTCAAAAAACGGAAACGCCTCAAAAAAAAGAGGAAACGCCTCAACAAAATAAAGTTTTAAAAGTTTTTTCAAAACACGAAAACGCCTCAAAAAAACGGAAACGCCTCAAAAAAAAGAGGAAACGTCGCCTCAACAAAATAAAGTTAAAACTTTTTTAAAAAAACGGAAACGCCTCAAAAAAAAACGGAAACGCCTCAACGAAATAAAGTTTTAAAAGTAATTCAAAAAACGGAAACGCTTTAAAAAAACGGAAACGCCTCAAAAAAAAGAGGAAACGCCTCAACAAAATAAAGTTTAAAAACTTTTTTCAAAAAATTCGGAAACGCCTCAAAAAAAAAAAGAGAAAAATGGAACATACTTTTTGTAAAAAATTGATTTCTTCTTAAGCCTCCTTTTTTACTTTTTGTTTCCTTCTTTTCATTTTTGGTATTCACGGGCTCGATTCCCGTACTCCACACAAACCTGTGGTTTCAAAAACATCTGAAGCCGACTTCTGGTTTAGCAGTTATGACCATCTGTAGGACAGAAGTGAGACTTTCAAATGTGATACATGTCCCTAGTCTAACTTTTCAAGGCCTGCTCATTAAGAAAAAAGTTAGACCTCTAACTTTAATTGTTTTGGTGTCTGGGAGGATTTTTAAAAAGTTCAAAAAGTATGTCGAAAAAATTTTCAAAAATAATTATTTTTTATTTATGACAAATATTAACATATGAAACATATGTTAATCAGGGGGTGGAAACGTCATGTGTGCAGGGGTCCATATAATTCCTTTCTCAATCCCAATTGGGATTGACAAATTTAAAAGAAATGGCGGCAAATTTTTTAAATGGGGGCAAATTGTTTTAAAAGAATAATAAAAAAAATTGAGGGCAAAATTTGTTTAAACTGGGTGCAATTAAATTTTTTTTTAGGGGGCAAATGTGAGTGGAAAAGGGGCATTTTTTATGTTTGGGGGCATTTGTTAATGGGGTCAACTTCATATTTTCTGGGGGCAATTTTTTAAATATTAATGGCAATCAAAGTAAAATTTTGGGCAAGATAAAAAATTTTGGGGGCAATTTAAAATAATGGGAGCAAATGTGTGAGTGGAATTTGTAAATGATTTTTTAATTGGGGGCATTTTTTTCCAATTGGGGGCAAATGGGGACAAATGTGTTAGTGGAATTTGATATTTTTTTTAATTTGGGGCATTTTTTTCAAATTTTGGGGGCAATTTCCACCCTTTGAATTTCAGTTTCATCCTTCCCCCCTCTCCCTCCCCTCGCCGAAACAACAGCTTTCTTAACTCGCGTTCTAATTGCAGAGCCCAATGAACTATAGATGGAACATTAATTTCTTTTAAAAAAATGTGCTTAAGTTTTTAGGATGATGAAAGCAAATTCGGCGCTGTGCAATTTTAATACTCAAAGAAACTGGAGTACATAATAAAAATAAACACATTTAGTTCAGCGGATTCCCATTTCATATTTCTTGCTTTGGTGCTATATTATAAATATATTGACACAACCCCCTACCCCCACCCTTACACACATTTCATTTGACCGCCAATTCAATCATCTTAGACTCCTCAGACCAGACCAGTACTATTAGATTTTCTCCAGTTCAAAATTACTCACAGTGAAGCTCGGACAATGTTATAAAGAAGTTTCATTGCATAATTTTAATATTATCTTAAACATTTATAATAGTGCACATCAATTAAAGTGATTATTATTTATTTTTAAGTAACCGTGGATTTTTCACATTTCTTGTTTTCTAGGGAAACCAAAGTAAAATTATGGAATTTATACAGGGGCGCAACTTTTGTGGTCAGTATATACCGATTTCTCATTATATACTAGGAACTGTTCAATGTTCTTGAGTTTAAAAACTATACTTCAAACAGATTAAAAAATGATCTACATGAGACAACTCATTGAATGCGTGCAGCAAAGCACAAAGTTCTGTTCTTCTAGTGTCTTTTTATGTATTTCAGAAGTGTCTGTTATTCCCTGCAGGCTTATTTACATATTTACTATGTGTATAAAGTCCCCTGTTAAAGTCTACAGCATGTTTTTCTATTTTATCCACTATAGTCCATAATCCATAGTAGTCTTTCTGTATAGTCCCTTTGCCCATGTTTGCCAGTAAGGGGCCTACCCATGTTCTCCTCTTAGAGCCTGTAGAAATCCTTTAGTTCGATCAAATCGTTATAATTTCTTGATATTCTTTAATAGTTAGTATTTTAGGTCGTCAGTTTTTGTAACCTGACATATTTGTATAAATCTAAATACTCTTAAGAAGTAGCTTTTTTGTGAGAGGATAAATTAAGAATGACCCACTTTCTTTAAGTTGAATAAGAGAAAATAGTAAATAATTCTTCTAGAAATTTGATAAAAGATGGTCCGCAATTATCGTGATAGACTCGAGTGAGGGGGTGGGGGGGGGGGCGAAATTTATCAATAAGTTTTATATTTATAAACGTGATTTACACAATCGGTCATTTTTTTCTGTAGAGTGGTTAGTTGTGTACACTGTACATCTGAATGGATTATGAGAAAAGCCTCTTCGTTTTCTTTCTCTATTTATAAATGCATTATTGTTCAGACAAAACCTTTAATGTTACCGCTGAGAATCGGACATGTTCCTTTAGATGGAGTCGTTTAAAATTACTTCTAGTTAGTATGTTCGATGTATCAGTTTTTATTTAAAGGGAGTGACCGGCTATGTAAGGTAGTTGAACATACAGTGTTGTGGAAACCTTCTTTCGGATTCATTTGAGACATATTAAACTTTTTACAGATCTGTAAATCCTGAGTTTGAGCGCAAATTCGACGTTGAAAACCTCTACTTTGGGGGTGGATACGTTTTCAGAATTAGTTTTTTTTTTAATTATTAAATAACGACGACATAAAATGTAAAAAAGTTCTACAATAAACTACAGATTTAGGAACATTTTGAGAAAATAAAAATTAATCTTATCCTCGAAAATAAGTAATCTTGTTTAATTATTAATTTTTATTTACACATTATTCCGGTTTCTCATTATTAAAAAAGATATTCGCAGATTTTCTAGAACTATTATTGAAAAGA